ACAACTCCAATCATTTATTTTTATATTAATGTTTGATAAAAATCATTTCTAATAATAGATCTAATCATGAGTCATGAGTAATAGATAAACATATAAAACTATTTTTGTAGATAGTAAGTATCGCAATGCTCAATCAAAATCTTCGCCTGACTTTTCAGTGGAGTTGAACGAAAACTCAGAAACACCAGAGGAAACAAAACTCTATGTAACTGATATTTCTATTCCAGCGGTGTGGAAATCTACAGAGGTGGGTTTCTATGAATATATTAATATATTTATGTTGTGGTCTTCAATGGCGATACATTAGTCAAAATATTAGGGTATATTTAGGTAATATTATGGTAAACTGTGATTAAAACATGAAACAATCACAAGAAAGAAATCAACATGAAAATAACAAATCTCAAAACATCTCAAAAAATCAAATGATGCCAAAGGCGATTACCGGGGGAAATGAGACCGAAACCCTGAAAGACAAATGACTGCGGCAATGACTTCAACAAACATATGCAATCTATAAGCAAAAAAACATTTAAAAAAACACCAAAAAAAACTTTTTTTTGTTTCTTTTAAGCTTTATTTTTTCATGCTATCATCAAGTTTGAGATTTTTTGAGATTTTTTGAGATTTTTTGAGCTTATTTGAGCTTTTTTGAGCTTTTTTGAGATTTTTTGAGATTTTTTGAGATTTTTTTACTATTTTTAAAGTATTGATTTGATATTGTTTGATATTTTTTGAGATTTTTTGAGATTTTTTGAGATTTTTAATTTACCTTTTTGCTATTTTTAAAGTATTGCTTTGAGATTTTTTGAGATTTTTTGAGATTTGTTATTTTCATTTTGATTTCTTTCTTGTGATTGTTTCATGTTTTAATCACAGTTTACCATAATATTACCTAAATATACCCTAATATTTTGACTAATGTATCGCCATTGAAGACCACAACATAAATATATTAATATATTCATAGAAACCCACCTCTGTAGATTTCCACACCGCTGGAATAGAAATATCAGTTACATAGAGTTTTGTTTCCTCTGGTGTTTCTGAGTTTTCGTTTAACTCCACTGAAAAGTCAGGCGAAGATTTTGATTGAGCATTGCGATACTTACTATCTACAAAAATAGTTTTATATGTTTATCTATTACTCATGACTCATGATTAGATCTATTATTAGAAATGATTTTTATCAAACATTAATATAAAAATAAATGATTGGAGTTGTAGCAGGAGTTGGAAGAATAGCAATGACTAATGCATTGAGACAGGTGGGAAGGCAGTTTGGGAGAGAGGTTGTTCAGAGAATTATGGGAGGTGAAGCAATAGAACATGTATTAACAAGAGAAGAGATGAGATTATATATTCGCAAAAAGAATAGGTAGAGTAGCATTTGAAGAATTAATGCGTCAAGGAAAAGAAGAGTTGATGAACGAGACGGACAAGAAACAAAGAGACTTAGATGAGAAGATGAACAACTTTGCAAGAAATCTTAATGAGCAATTCAGACAAAATACAACACTGTATAAAGAAGAAAGGAACATAGCCAACACAAAAGCAACAGAAGACAGACACGGATTGACAAATGCATACAGAAGCCCATCGGGATTATATAAGACAGGCAAGACGCTTTATTTATATATCAGGAACGGGTGGAAAAGATGGAAGTATAAACAGAGACATTTTAGATTATTTATTAAGGTTACCTACCAGCAATGCACACAACACCGAAAATATAAAGATGTGATTAATGAACTCAAAAAAATCACCAGAAATAACACGTTTGGTATCACATGTCCCTCAGATAATATATAATCCACCAATTTACCTGTATCCCAACCAAAAAAAAATGATATAAAATGATATAAAAATAAAAAAAATGATAAAAACATGCGTTTTAATGGGATAACATGCTTAAATATGTGAAAAAGTGCTTTTTAATGCGTTTTTAAGTTATTTTGAGTTTATTTATGCGCATGGGGGTTCACAAAGTCTTCTGATCTAAACCCAGCTGATCTAGGGTACTTATTATTTTTGGTGATTTTTATGTTTTATCATCATATTCCCCGTCAAACTATATCAAAATGTCCATAAATGGCGCATAGCCTACTTATCCTACTTTCAGTCACACCCAAATTATCATCTTGGTTGTATATCCGAGAAAACATCCCCATATCCCCATGAACTATCCCCATGAACTTATTCATTGGGTCAAATCCCCATTTTCAGACCCCATCTTTGGCTCAAGATTGGCTGCGCTTTGGCTGGGCTAAGGCTGCTTCCGGACTTGCGGCCTGGACCTTAAAGTACATTGAAGCGTGATGTTGATTGGCGTGTTGAAGGGAATCTTCAAGAGGCTTCAAAAGAGTTTCTAAATTTCTAGGGAATCATTAAATCCCCACCCCCGATAAACTATATATTCAAGGGAATCTTCAAGAGGTTTCAACAGAATTTTTAGGGCATTATCAAATCCCCACCCCCATTAAACTTTATATTGATGTTGTTGTTGTTGTTGATGATGATGATGGTGATGATGATGATGATGGTGATTTTGCTGCTGCTAATGATGATGATGATGGTGATGATGATGATGATGACGACGATGATGCTGATGATGATGACAACGACGATGATGATGATGGTGATGCTGCTGATGATGATGGTGATGATGATGATGATGATGAGTGTGATGATGATGGTGATGATGATGATGACGACGATGATGCTGATGATGATGACGATGAAGATGATGATGATGATGATGGTGATGGTGATGCTGATGATGATGATGATGGTGATGATGGTGATGATGATGATGACGACAATGATGCTGATGATGATGACGACGGTGATGATGATGATGATGGTGATGATGATGATGATGACGACGATGATGCTGATGATGACGACGATGATGATGTTGATGGTGATGATGATGGTGATGATGATGATGACGACGATGATGCTGATGATGATGACGACGACGATGAGGATGATGGTGATGATGATGATGATGATGCTGATGATGATGATGACGACGACGATGATGCTGATGATGATGACGACGACGATGATGATGATGGTGATGATGATGGTGATGATGATGATGATGATTATGACGACGATGATGCTGATGATGATGACAACGATGATGTTGATGTTTATGATGATATTGTTGATGATGTTGTTGTTGTTGATGATGATCCTGGACATGTGCATTTTGTCCCACAAAACACAGTGTTTTGCGATGTTCGGACACGTGGTGGACGTCGGCGCGGGCAAGAGGAGGGGTTTGCCTGCAACATTACTTTACGATGTTATTTTCATAGTATATCCCCATGTAATATAAGTATCCTTGGTATATGCTTAACGGAGATCAAATATCAACATGCAATTTATATTGATATTCTCATATCCTCCCTGATTTTAGTGTACAAACATACCATTTTTGGTACTGCACTTCCTGGCAGGCCAGCTATGCGACACAAAAGAACGACCGGGATGAGAGATTTTTGATGCGTCAGGCCAGATGGGTCCCAAGCAACTATTTCAACAAGGAAACCATGGATGAAACCTGGAAAAGCCTACGGAATGATCTGAAAATATGGGAACATTATTGGAAAATGAGGAGAAAATCATGATTGATTCGGATTTTTTTGGGGTATTGTCAGACAACCCAGATCATCGATTGTTTGGTAATCCAATCGAGTCGTAGGGCAATGGAGAATCATGGAAAATCATCTACGAAACGGGGAGCTTCCGTTGCCAGGTTAGATTACTCGGGGGTATGAGGCACTTTTAGGGATCCCCTGACAAAGAGACGCCACTTCCCAGCGCATGATGTCGCTTCGCCCATCCCATATCAGATCAGATCAGATTATATTTTTCCCATGCTTCGTGGGGAGTTGCGTCAGATTCCACCAAGATTCACGTAATTTACGGCTACCACAGGCCCAGCAACAGGATATTTTGTCCGTTTAGTGTTTTTAGCCCAGACCATGTGAAGACCATCGTGTTTCGTGCTTGGTTGAGCACATTGTCCGCATGCAACAATGGAGAGTGACTCTTTGAAACGACATTTCTTGGAGGAAGAGACTGCAGTTGTTTGAAGAGGAAGATGCTTCCAACCGATTATTCGTTGGCTGCCAACGTTTAGGGGCACTTATGCAAGCTTATGAACTTGTCGGCTCTTACTGGTGACAGGCATATCTTTTTGGCATAGAACTACATTGGATATTGAGCTAGGATGAAGTCAGTTGCTATTGCTTGGGTATTTTTTGGACTGTGCACATTGACAGAAGTTTGAACAGCATCATGCAACTTTTGTTTTTGTCTCGAACGCCAAACTTCTGAGCTTCACGAACTGGTGGTTTTGGCTTGATACTGAAAGTCAGTTTCGAAACACATCATCTCTTTTGCACCTGAGTGAAGTTAAACATCGAACGACCGCGTTATGCTGTAATGCTGCTATGCAATGGTGCGCGGTGCATCCGCCAACAGTACAGGCTTCAAAGCAGGGGCCTGCCAACTCCCATGCTTTTTCACCCAGTAACCCACTGACTGCGTGACACATTCCAGATTTGATGGGGGTTGTTATATCTAACGCAAAGATACCTCCGAGAGATCTTGAATGATGTTGACGGAATGCAGGAAGTGGATGGAATTGGACTCTTATCTAGGATCTGATCTACTGATACTTTATGATATGTCCATCAGAAATGCAATACTGAGATTGTTGGCTGATTGCTGGTTTCAATTCTCACTTCCAACTCTGTATGCCTTTGTGGTGAAAGGTTTCCTTTGTTGTTCAGTGTTTATCGCCGGTATCATGGTTTTTTGATGATTTTTGGAATTATGAGCTCCTCAAAACATTTTGTTACCATATGTCTGGATTGACAGACATTGACAGCCCCAATTCTTGATGCTTTGGACATGTTTAGAATATCTTAGAATCCCATGTTTTGGTCTCAAGATCCTCTATTTTTGTGCCTGGTTTGGGCCCCCAGGCGCGTGGCAGTTGAGCCTCCTCCATCAGCCCTCGGTGATCGACTATGGCTTGGCACTGCGAAGCTTCACGAAGGTTGGATGGGTGACGAAATGGGAGATCTCTCAACATGTGTCACCAACAAGAAATTGGAATAAACATGATACGAAAATATAAGAAACATGATAAAACAAATCCACAAAATCCGAAGGTTTCTTCCATCAGCACCTTGGCCTATCCCAGGCAGCAGCTTGGAGGGATGCCATGGACACGATGCGAGTGATGCAACGACAGCGAGCAGAGCCCAATTTGGTGATCTACAACTCTGCACTGAGACTCAGCGGTTGAGTAGGGGGGACCCCCAATCTTGGTGGAGTAAAGCTGATCTTTTGGTGGCCCAAAGGGCGACTAAGAAATCTAGAAGCTCTTGGGATCTGCCCCAAAAGGGACCAAGTTGTCACTAATCACTACACCAAAATTACCAAAATGAAAGGTAAAGAACAATTCAAACAATTCAAAGGACAACATCACCAGGTCCGCTTCCCAGGACGGCCCTGGGCGCGGCATGGCGAAATGCCTTGGAGCTGGTCACGACCATCGCCACCTCGGCGCAGCAGTGCGATGTGGTGACCCTGGGAGCGGTGCTGCGGAGCATCGAGGTGGCGAAACCTGGGTTCTGGGCTCGACTGGCTTCGACTGGGTGATACAGTATCCCAACGTATCTGAACATAAGTGGTCAACTTCCGTTTGCATAAGAATGCAGACAAACAAATGGTACGACATTGACTCTTAGGGATTTGTCATGATTTGTCATGATTTCTCTGGAAATTTAGGCCCCCCCAAAAAAACACTGGATTATCATCATGACTCATGACCGTTGAAGCAAAGTTGCTGCTGTTGACCTCGAAGAGAATTTCAGGATTGGCCTCGGGCCTTTCAACTACTCTCTGCACAGGCCGGGGGGATGTTTTCGGCCAGATGCCAGGTGATTTGAGGTGCAAAATACACTCCAATTCCAGCTTGGTTAGGTTTCTGCTGGTTTCTGACTCTGGGAATTATCCAGATTGCTTGAAAAAACTTGGAGTAGAGACCAAAACTGATTGCAGGGACTGTACCCAAACTCATGGCATGGATTCACATGGATTCACAAAAACATGCGGCGATCCGCTATTCCATGCGTATCATGTGCAAACCGCTGTGGTTTTGTTCAGGTTTGGTCGGGCATGGACTTGAACTTGGTGTTGTTGAACAGTTTGCTGGGCAGGCACTGGCGTTGGGCTTTGGGCTTGAACAGCCGCTTCCTAATTGCAACTAGATGTTGTGGCTTGAACTGCTTGGTGGTATCCATGGCGGAAGTTTTTCCGAGACTGAGTACCATTTTGGGATTGAAATCACCAACCAGCAAACTCTCAGATGATGTCAGTGATAAATTCCACAGTGAACAATGTATGTGGATCCTGCCTCGCTGTTATCCTCAGTCTCGGTTTAATTGTGTGATACCACAGCCGCTCAAAAGTACTTGCTAGAGTAAGCTGAATTACATACAACATTACATCATTATGATTGATTATGCATTGCAAATCCCAATCATTGCGATAAATATAGCCAAAGATATAGTCTAACATGTCCGCTGCAACCCTGACGTTGCGCCGCGTCTGACTTCAGGTGGCTATGAAGATAAAGTTGATGTTATTACCCCAATCAACATATTGTTCATAGGGGGTGGCGATTTTTGATACCTTATGAAGATAAAGTTGATGTTATTACCCCAATCAACATATTGCTCATAGGGGGTGGCGAATTTTGATCCCTTATGAAGGTAAAGTTGATGTTATTACCCCAATCAACATATGGTTCATAGCGGGTGGCGAATTTTGATCACTTATGAAGATAAAATTGATGTTATTACCCCAACCAACATATGGTTCAGAGCGGGTGGCGAATTTTAATGTGATGATGATCATGAAGTGATGATGTGATGATGTGATGATGGTGATGGTGATGGTGATCATGATCATGATCATGATCATGACGATTGTAAGTGTGGAGCAACTTCCGGGTTGGGGCGAACATGTCTAAGATCCAGATGCTCCCAGGCTTGGTGCTTGACCAGACCAGCTACAATAGCTGCATCAATGCCGCAGGGGAGGCCTTGCCCGCAGCTTGGTGCTATGCAGCTGTGCAGCTGTCCTCCATGGCCTCAATGGCCTGCGAGCGTGACCAGATTAGCGCCTTGGAAGCCCTGGCGAGTTTTTCTCTGGTTTTTTGTTATGTTTTTTGGAGGGTATATAGAGTTGGGGTATAACTTACGGTATAACCATGGTATATCTGTCTAGCCAATAAACCATGGAGGATTTAATATGATTGAACCAGTAATGGGATGTTTTTTTTACCAACTTGGTAACTACAATGACAAAATGCTACCAGAAATGGGGGTGCTTTGATAGCCTACAAACATTGCTGATGGTTTATCTTTGGGTTAACCACATTAAGAGACGTCATGTCCTACTATCATGTATACAGTAGACATCTCTGAGGAGCTGTTGGAATTTCCAAGACGTCAATGAGTAGTTTTCATTGTTTTTGCAGAATCCCTATTCAAAATACTCGTCAAGAGGCTACGTCCTCATTTTTTTTCGCCAGTTGTTCGCCTGGCTCAAGTCCCAGCCGAAGCCTGGATCAAGAAGTGCAGGTGGATACTGTAGTAGATTGAGGGGTCACCTCCAAAAAGTGAAAAAAAATTTGCTACTTGAATGGGACCCCTCCAATTAGCCACAACCCAGCGGTTTTCTCACTACTGGGAAACCTTGGATGGGTAGTTTGGTACTTCTACCTTTTGTATCCTTTTGTCATAAATAATTTGGGATGTACTGAAATACACTAAACAGCCAAAAAAAAATGCAGGTGAGGGACGGGTGGACATTACCCAATAATCCCCAACAGTGCTTGTTCTCCTTTACCTTGAGGCTTCAACTCGGCCATCAAAGCATGCCAAGGCGGGCTGAGGGTGGCCGAAGTACGGTGTATGGAAAAGGAGTACCTGTTTGGACGCACAAGTGGCTGGTGATTTTTTGGGATCGGAGACTGTCCCCAGTTTCGGTGGAAAGCAACAGTTTGAGTAATTGAGCCACACCCTGTTGGGGACGACATCTTCTGAAACGCACAGTTACTGTAAGGCATTTCGCCAGATATTTTGGGGGCCATAGAACTTCGTGCCCTGTAAGGGGGGTATTCCAACAGGGTGTCCCAATCAGTGCTTTCTTCCATTTTTTTAGCAGACCACAGATGCCTAGACTTGGTCACAGGACTTGCTCTCTCATTCAACGCTGCACCAAAGTTCCATGAAGACTATATCCTGATGACGTAGTTATATCATGTTATATCCCCACTATATCCACATTATATCCCATGTGTTACTGAGGACACTGGAATCCGGCCATGAAGATCTTCAATTCTATGAGGCTGAAAGAGGTATGTCCATCAGCACCTCGGTCCATGGCCGGAAAATCTCCGTGGATTTTCCAGCAAGCCACGTTCGATTACTGAGGGTGCCAATGGGTACCAGATATTTCATGATATTTCGACCCGTTTTCACATGATCCACCAGGCGTTCTGCGTATATTTGATAGTGTGGAATCAACTTTCACATGATGACAACAGTGCCGCAGAGATCTCTGCGCCTAAGGTAAGGAGTTATGGTAGCTCCATTGCTGCTGCAGCTTCTTCCCGGTGACTTGGACCTTGCTGGATGTTGCTGCAGCGGTGCTGGTTGTTTGTTGGTGGTTGATCTTTGACCAACGAAATTCATTACTGACGATTTCAAACCACCAAGAAATTTGGTTTCAAGTGGCCATGTTTAGTTTCAAACCTACATGCAGCGAATCTGAGGATGATGATTCCACACGATCTGCAACTGACTACCATGTTTTTCAGACAAGGTAAAACCGTAATCTCGGAATTGGCCATGTTTTGTACCTCCAAATTTGGGTGCCCCAAACCATTGGTTTCTTCATGAAAAAATGACAAATTTTCGGATGATGTTGGGGTCATGGTTAGGACTTCCTTCTTCCGGAAAGGCATTGGCGGTTCGCCTTGCAGCTCTGGCAACATCCAAACATCAAAGCGTCCTTGATTTCTGGCAACGCAGTGGCGTGGAGACCAAGCCCTTGACTGGGTCTGAAAATGGTGGATACAACATGATACCACCCCGATTTATGATCATTTATGGCTGCGGCTATTTGATGCTTCTTTTTGTTGAAACATTGTTTTTTAACCACCGGATTTGGGGTACCCTATTTTCACGGTCTCCGGATGACTGTGTTACATGTTTTCTGCTTTGTGAATGAAGGAACTGGTTTGTAACTGTAGATACCCTCTGGTAATTTAAGATACCCTCTGGTAATTTAACATAGCTATTGAAAATGGCCATTTATAGTGGATTTTCCCACTAAAAATGGTGATTTTCCATAGTTATGTTAGTTTACCAGAGGGTAATTATATTGATTACATCCACAAACATACGCATACGGATAGAAAACATGGTCTGTCTGAAAACAGGGTCCCTCCAAACGGCCATCGTTTTTCAGTCAATCCAGAACGGGAAATGCTTTGGTTTGGAGGGGGGGGCAAGTCATGGCCAGTGGTTTTTTTTGGACAAATTCTACCAATTGCTGGAAAACATAGATGTTTCTCCTCTGAGAATTATGTCCTTTGATGTCCTTTGTCTATATTCAAAGGGGGCAAGCCAATTGTTTTGAGGCCCTTTTGGGCACTTTTGGATGCAGCCTTCTGGTCATAAGACCAGGATGAGATGGATCCATAATTGGCAAATTTGATTATTTAATCTGAAAAATGTACACACATTCTGTGGGTCCATTGGTACATCTTTTGGAGCCATACTGAATATATAATTGATTGTGAATTCCAGCTAGAAAGTGGTTAGAAGATCTTAAAAGACTACGGAAAATCACCTGGTGATATGTGTTTTTTTCCGCCCTGTTACACGGATGACCGCTTGCCGCAGGTCTCTGCCTTCACTGCTTGGACGCGAGCCATGGAGCTCTTGCAGATGCTGAGGAATGGATTGCAGGTCTGAAAATGGGGGATGCCGGGATATACCAAATGGCATGTAATTTTGGGGGAAGTATGGGAAAATGATGAGTAACCAGTGGATTTTGGGGTAGCATATTTTTCGGACAAAGCCAATTCTGAATTTTGTGTGGTTTTGGTGGCAGGCTGAGCCTTTTCTTGGAGAAACCTCGTGATTAATCACCATGGTAAACTTAGGACTTAGGAGAAAGAAATAATTTTGTTTTAGGAATTCTCCAATTTTGGAGACACCCTTGCAAGAATGGCTGAAAATTAAAGCCATAATTAATAATTGTCGGGGCTTGCACACTTTATAAAATATGACAGAAACATCTGGTGGGTCCTGCAAGATCAACTGATTGTCTTCCCCCATTGGGGGTTGGTATACCCAGACCCAGACCGGGTAAACTCCGTGGTGAATTCTGAAAGCCACAATGATTGCTTAGTGGGGACCAGACTACTATTGATATGGCAGTTATCAGGAACTCCATCAACAAAAACCATATCAAACCCCAGTCTCTGTGATTTAACTCCCAATGCTCCCAGTTTCTCATTGGGTGTTTTTAGTTGGATGTGCATCCCCATTGGTCAGTGGATACTAGCAATCTTGGCCCAGTTATATTTGGCTTATATCCCGGCTCTTATATAGTATCATGATCACAAGCCACTGACCACCGCACTATGATTCTCAGCATTTTGATGATGCTTTCCACGGTGAAACCCTATTCAACTTTCCGTGTTTGATACAGTTTGGCACCACCCAAGGATTCAACCCGTTCAGCCCCAATGTCTGCCGCTTTTCGTTGCTTAAACTTAAACCCTATTGTTTCACCGTGTTTGCGTAGTGTAGTCACCATTTTTGTTGGTTAAATCCCCATTGTAATCCTAATGGTTGATGGTTAAATCTACTTTGGTTTATCTAACCCCGAACCAACAAATACAACTGGGGGGGGGCTACCTCCCATTTGGTTGACTAATCCTACTTTGTTGCAATTGCAACCAAAGAGCTTTGGATAGTTGGTTAGTTGGTTATACTATATTCCCATTAAATCCCCATGGCATTCCCCATATTGTTTGGATATATCCTCATATCGAACTGGATACTTAAGTGGGCAGACCTTGGAGTCTGAGTTGATGGAGAATGAAGAATCCTATTTTTTTTTGCTGAGTTGGTTCTATATGGTAAGGAATTCCCATGAAACACCATATAAAACTCATGTATTGTTGGGTATATCCCCATTAATTGTTGGCTATATCATTATCCCAATATTGTTGAGTGTATATCCCATATTGATCAATGGGAATTCCAGGATCCTAAAATGGAGAACTGTACGATTCAAGCCTATATATATATATGTATCTTACATGTGGTAAGTGCCTCCAATTTAGCCTCCTAACATTAACCAATATGGAGAAATACACAATGATATTGAACAATAGCTCACAAGATTGAGGGAAAAAGCAGCAATACGGGGGGTTCTGAATGTATTTTGTTGCTGTTACATGAGGAATCCCCGATTGATACTGTACATAATTCATCCATATGGAACCCCCCATATTGTTGGGTATATCTCCCCATATTTCCAGGTCAGCACCCCCATATTTCCAGGTCAGCACCGTGACCTTCGGCGCAGCCATGGCGGGAGAGATCAGATGGCACAGAGCTCTGCAGCTGCTTCGGGAGGTGCGTGAGGCACGGGGATTTGGGGAGATGGATGGATAAAAAATGGTGATTTACTGGGATTTGATTGGGATTTCTTGGGATGTCATGGTGATTTGAGATGTAAGGTGACTAAGGTGATGTGAGATTGGTTTAAGTTGATAACACCAAGAAATTCTTGGGGTATGGGTGATATAATGTATATTAATGTATATAATTTAGGGCTCAGGGGCAGATTTGTCATTCAATTGTAGGGGTATCTAATCTTGACCCAACCTGATTTTGGATTTCACATGATCTAGGGATATCTAAGGAGATTTGGCTAATCGTTACAACCATTACAATGGGGTCATTACTTGAACTGGCTTAGTATGACTGGGTGGCTTCAAACATTGTTGCTGTTTGTATGCCTGCATGAGAGATAGCAAAGCTTTTCTGGATCCATGAAGAAAAGTAGAGACAATTCGAATGTGGTGAACCCGATAATAAACCTCCATGCAGGATTGCTATTTACCACCGTTGGTAAAATTAAGCAAAATTGGGCCGATGCAGCTGGAGGTTCGCTTGGAAGTCACCATCATCAGCTGCAACAGCGTCATGAACGCATGTGCAGAGGCCCTTCTGCATGGGGTCCTCCATTTTTGTCCAGAGATTTCCTCACTGTTGTAGGGTCCGTAGGCGGGTTGAAACAGATTAAACCATCATGATGTTTAAGCATACTGTATGTTTGATTGTCTCCTTGTAAATTAGAAGCATTACAGGTCAAAAAAAAACATGGCCGACAGTTCCTCCCTGAACTGCATCTTTCCAGTTCCACTTGCCGCAAGGAGAGTAAGTGGGAGATGGCTGCGCAGCTAATGAGCGAAATTAGCAGCTTGGACTCGAAACATCTCGAACATGTCGGAGTGTTTCTGTTTGGCCCGGACTGCCCCAAATTCTTCAACAGAAGTAGCCCACTTCCCAATCCCTCCAAGTCTTTTGGACACAAACAAAATCGCCTGATGACTCCAGGGAGCTCCAGAATCCAGGCCACAGTGGTGACACAGCAGCTTGGCAGAACTTGGATCATCATCTCAGGATGGGTTCTGGTTTCATGATTTTACCTGGATGTGCATGTGATGAATTGAAACTCCCGGCTGTTGTTGGATGTCCCTGCTGAAAAGCGCCTTTCGCATCCTTTCTTTGCTTGAAAGTTGAACCGTTGCTTCTGACAGTCTTGACGACATTTTCCCGCGGAGGAACACCTTGCTTTTGGCGCTGGCCAACGGAGCGGAATGGCCAAGGGCCTTGCATGTGGCTTCTGAAATGGTGAAGGATGAGACCAGCTACAACACGTTGAATTTTGGCTGTGATTCAATCGCCAAAAATTCTGTTGGCCAGTGACGGCCAGTGGCCAAATCCAGTGGATGCCACCAAGGATCGATGCATTGGCGCGTGGTGGACAATGGGAAGCGTCACTGTGCATCTTGCAAGTGATGTTTGAGGAGACATTCATCAAGGCAAACTTGAGCCCCCAAAACTGACCAATAAATGCTGGGTGGTGGACTCTGATTTCAGAAGGATATCCAGGATACCAATTTTGAAACATACCCAATCTATCCCAATCTGACACAGAGATATGATTTCAGAGATATGTTTTCCGAGTCTGCCAATGACCTGTGACCTCGATAGACTATGTCAACCCGTACTGCAACGCAGGAGAGCACCAAGCCCAGTCGCATTTCCTTCAATTCTGCGATAAATGCCTGTGCCAGCGACGGTCGCTGGTCGGTGGCACTGGCGCTTCTGGAGAGAATGAAGAAGGCCAAATGCCTCAAAGTGAACCAAGGACCAAAAGACCGGACGCAAATGATATCAAAGATCAATAAAGATCATAAATGTCAAGTGGCGCCGCATGCATTTTGTCAGCGACAACGAGACGCATGGGTCTAATTTTACTGCGTTAACCCATTTCAACCCCATGTGTTCTTCATTTTGATGTGCCAATGTTGATACATTGTACGATAGATTTGATGTTTCACCATTCAACCCATCAATTCTGAACCACTGAAATCCACTGAAGCATCCAAATCTTTGTGCAACAAAGTTCCCCCACATAATTCATGTCACAAGGGCTTGTCCGAACATAGGGTATATACCCCAAAAATGGATAAACATGGCATGTTCTACAAAAATCATTGAAACATTGCAATTTGGGATCATGTTCTATCATCATTTTCCTTATGAAAATGGTGATCTGAGGTCTTGTCAGAGAATTTCTTGCTGTGATCCCTAAAGTTCCCATGCGACGCCAGGCCGACCTGGAGCTCAACGCCATCGGCCTCAGCAGTTGCGTCACGGCCATGGGCCGTGGACGGCAGTGGGCCTTGGCCTTGGAGCTGCTGAGGCTGAGGCCGGCGGATCAGCCGGATACCATGAGTTGCAACAGCGCCATCGTGGCCTGTGGCGGCCAATGGTGGCGCATCTTCGAGTTGTTGTGCCTGGGGGAAAAAGATGAAAAAGGGAGGGATAGGAATGGTGAAGATGATGGTACGTGTTTTAGCATTGCTTGGTATCATGGTGAGACTCTGACATGATATGACATGATTATGTATCGACTTAGTCAATCAATTTTGACGTCAATTGTGGGAGAATGGAGATAAGATTATTGCTTTTGTGTTTTCTATCGTTGCCAACGTGACCAAAAAGGTGAACATTGCTATTGGGTCATGTGCATGAATCTCAGGTGGGATGTTTGGTTCAGTTTCATTTGAATCAAACCCGAGGCAGCCAAAGTAGGAGTAGGCAGCCAATTCAAACCGATCGGAAAATCGTGGTTTCCTATAGTGTGGGTAAAAGGAGAATAAACCATCCCCCAAATCACCCTAAATAGGTGGTATATGGTGGTATACACCATTCCCAAATGGGTGGCTTACCCTCTGGTAATTTAACATAGCTATTGAAAATGCCAATTTATAGTGGATTTTCCCATTAAAAATGGTGATTTTCAATAGCTATGTTAGTCATTACCAGAGGGTAATATCGTTTTATCCACATTAGATTTGACAGATGGGCCCAGGTGCTGCATAGCTTCACCAGACCTCATTACATACAGCAGCCTGGCGTTGAGATTTCGGAGGGCTTCACAGATTTGCACGGACGAAGGAGGTTATAATATTATGTTATTTAAATAATATTTCTATATGATTCTATAAGGATTATATTATATTTTATTTATATTATATTTTATTATATTTATTATTATATTATATATTATATATATATTATAGTTCCATCATTTAATTATATGTGTTCTATATACTTATATATTTTGATATGCTCATATTTGTTATTTCAAATATATGATCTCAGATCGTTTCAGTGCAGAGAGTTGTGTTTTTCTTTCCCTGCTACACACCAGGTAGCTGCATTGGCAGCATGGCGCGCAATGCCAATTGGCCCTTGGCCGTGGAAATCCTGCGACTGATGCCGAAGTGTCCTGACGAACGACAGGATTGTTACGGATGCTGTAACCGATCCGATGAGAACAACAACTGTGGAATCAGAGTTCTGAATCTTCGTAATCCATTTACTTGGAAATGCCCATGTGTATCCATGTGTCTGTTTTGTGGTATTTGTGGAAGTAGTAGTCAGTAAATACAATTCACATATCATCTCATATGTCCCGTCACTCAATCACATACTAATCTTGGAAGCGTGGCATCGAAATCGACTTGGAGCCCCACCTATGGCCACCAGCTGAGGTCTCGCATTTCTCCAGAATTGGTGTGTTACAACTCCACATTCGCTGCGTGTCATCGCAGTGGTCAGTGGCGCTACCCCTTAGCCCTAGCGGCTCAGAAGCTCGGCAGTGGGGAATTTCTCCCAAGGTCTCAGAGGGACATTCGATGATATTCGCACTAAAAATTGAGGATGGAACCCACAAGAACTGGTTGTGTCACAAGTTGTGTCAATGTACTGTCATTTTAATTTAGTAGATTGTTTCCATTCCTAAAAGTAGGATGATGGTCCCAAGGACCTTCATATCTTTCAGGGTGGCTCAACCACCGTTAAGCAAATGTCATGTGTTTTTTCACAGCCTTATGCAGATCTTTTATTGGGATGAATCATCCATTCGTAAAGGGCTAAGGCCACGAAGATGAGAGTGGATGTTTTGTTCAGAGTTTAGCAGATTTCACCTCCTGCTTGAAGCAGCTACTGTATAATACATGACCGGAGGGATGGAAATGATGATTCAAACTCGTTCCCTTCCGGGGACTATACAGTCACAGGGGAATGAGTGACTCAAACGGTGCAATCCACTTGGCCCCCATTCCATAGCTACGTTTTCCACACAGTCCATAAAACAGGCTGGAAAGCTTTGGCTTAGAGTTTCACATCCGAAGAATTCCGAAGAGCCCCTCTCATTCTTGGCCGTTCTTCTACACAAGAATCCCTATTTTTGGATGCCCTATTTGAATCCCGTTGGTCTTCTGACCAAAATTCCAAGGATGTCCTTGGACGTCATTGGCTTCAACAATCTCATCGGTGCTTGCGCTCAAGATGCCCAGTGGCATCGGGCCCTTGGGGCCCTTCGACTGCTGGAGGCGCCGAATTCGGACCTGCCAGATGCAATTAGCCACTGGGACGATGAAGCCGCAACTGGACCTATGGGACGATTGAGCTTACAGTGTAATTATACAGTTGTTTTTCAGGTTTGGACAATGAACTCCTGTTCAACCTGTTCATTTTTTTTCCTGGATGGTTTATCTGGCCTTGAGTGAGGGAATGATGTGTAACTTGTTGATGTTTTGGGAGAGCGTAGTAGGGATGTTTCGATTCAGAGCAGAACATGACTAATTATTGTGAATCCAAACAGAGTCGAAGACACCATACAGCTGAGACATGCTGAGACTAAGATCGTTTATCCAGTCCTTGGAAAGAAGAACCATTTTGCCTTTGGAGATACAACTGCAACGCAGTATTGGTGGTGCTTTTGCTCATGACTGGTAGTTTCCATTTTTTCAACTACACTAGTTGTTATTTCATTTACAATCCTTAAATTGTCTCATAATATACAGATGTTCTATTATGTTGCGTTACTGAACCTGGAATGATGATCCCAGCTGACAGAAAGAACCGGATTTGTCCCAAAATGATCATATCCCCAAAATGAATTTAAAATGAATGGCTCAATACACTCAAAAATCACGCGTTCAGATTTTGTGTCTTGGCGTTTCGCCATTTGCTTCGCCATCAGGAAAGCCCACCAGATCTGGGGGGTTCCTGAAATATCCTGAAATAGTGGCCACCCATGAATCGTATATTTCAGGTCACTTTATGTTGGGATTTTCCCGATCAACAAAAACCTTCAAAAAAACCATCCAGCTATTGGGGTGCCCCCCAGCCCCCTGGCGCCATGGGGAAAACCTGAGGTTTTGGAGGTACCATCCATGCATGTGCCAAGAGGGCTCGCTGGAACGAAGCCCTCCAGCTCCTGGAGCGGCCGCAGTTGTTTAGTCAAAGGATAGGAGTTGTCATGTAAGTTGTCACTATTTTAGATTATTATTGTAGGATTGTAATGGATTGTACTATTTTCTATCTATTTTTGGGGTGCTTCCAAGTATCTCTTGGGTAGGTAAATCAGCTGTAACTGGATGGATGTTCATTACCAGCTTTGATTATCGCACAGTATCGAAAGTTCTGGAAGGAGAGATGGAACTTTTTTGAACGTTGATCCTGACCCAGCTTAGAACGTTTTACGATGTGGGGACGGATCAAAACCATCCATACATCCCAGCTATTTTGAGAACAGAAGGGTGGGTGCCATGACCCATGGACCCATGGACCCATGGCCTTGTTGTACAGTATGATCCCTCAAATCTAAGCTGGTTACCATCCGCTGCTGCAGGAGAAGCTTTCTGCCAGTATGCTGGAAGCAGAGCTCATCACCTATTGTTCATGCATGGCAGCATGCAACCGAGCAGCCCAGTCCCATGTCATCGCGATATGAGGGTAGATGCATTTGTATTGATGAAATAATTTCCAAAAAACTGAAATAGGATTGTCTGAAAATAGGGTGCCCTTAGATCTGATGATTACTCATCAGTATCCCGATTAACAGGCCATCTATATTAGTAAACCCCATTTGCAGACACACCCAAGTGGTAACAGTCATAGTCATAGTATGTCATAGCGCTACCCATGCTACCAGGTTTCAAAGTATCATCCCGACCCATTGTAAATCCCATAGAAACTCCTGGTCCTAAATTTAGTTTGTTGACTAGTTGACTGGTCCCGAAATCATAAGCACGGACTAGATCGCCTTCACATTCCATGGATCATTTCAAGCTATTCATGCTGAATTTCAGGGAACACATCTTGACACAGCTGAAAGCTTGTCTCCCTCTATGATCCAAGGCCACTTTGGCATAGAGCATTTGGGATGAGACCAACCACTCCAACAGATTGTCGATGCACTTCCCCCTCAAATTAGGTCTGGTAGTTTTCAATGTTACTATTCATCATCAATGAGTTTTTTTTATGTTCCCACTTTTGTTGGTTGCGAACCCTTTTGGTGAATTTATGATAGAGTCATACATATCCTTACCTATCCTTACCTATCAATGTTTCATATATATGATTATATATATATGTGTACATGCTTGTATCATTCAAAATTATGATACAAAGGCTTCGGCTTACCCCCTGTGCCATGGTAAGACCATGGGCTATTTATGTTTATTTTCCCATAAAGAGGTATGGTCATCCCATTGCCATACTAGGGGTCAGTGTACCACTGGGGAATCCCACCATTTCTGTGCCATTTCTGTGCTTCTGAAAAATCACCATACCATGGTCCAAAGGTGAAATCACAATTTGGAGCTTTCCACTTCCATGGGCCGGCCGTCATGGCTTTACAAAGTCATGGTCATCCATTGGAAGATAACTGGGGTATCCGCCGGGTATCCCGGGTATCCCCAAGGGAAACCTCGCAGCGCAGCGCGACAGGTTCCACGCGACCCTGCGCTTATCCATCGACGTCGGCCCCATCGATCCCATGGATCCTGTGCTGTTGGGCCATTGCTTCAGCGCCTGCGTAGCCACACGACACGCAGGCACCAGCGATTGAAATGGGCGCCTGCGTGTGGCCAAATGTGGCGATTTCAACGGGAAAAAAATGGGGATGTAATGGGGATATAACCATGGCTGGGAAATCCCACGGAAGTTTTGATGGGAAAATGATCTATCAATAAGACAACATAAGACAACCCTATGGTGGTCATTTTAAATCATCCCAGTCATAGCGGCAAAAACCCCATGAACAGATATAAACAGTAATTTTTGGGATGGTTTGCTGTTGGGTTTACCACATTGAAAATGATGAGTAACCATGATTAGCTACTTGTAATGGATCACCATGATGAGCCTTTGAGGTGCTGGGCTGCTAGCGGAGCTCACAAAGCAAACTTTGCAGCGCCTGGCAGAAAAGTGGCGCACATCATGCGCATCCCAGTCGTAAGTGGAATATCCCCCAGCATATGGGATGATATGGCTTCCCCCAGCTAGATATGGGCTAATAGGGATATACCTTATCTAGATTCTAGAAGCCTGTGGGCAGAGGTTTCTAGTATGTACCAGGGGGTCTGTGGCAAGCTTAGTTGGTGCAAATGGCGACGACATGACGACGACATGCCCATGGCATGGTGACAGCATCGCGACGGCATTGCGACGACATGGCGACGACACGGCGACCACATGGCGACGGCTTGGCGACGGCATTGCGACGACATGGCGACGACACGGCGACCACATGGCGACGACATGGCGACGACATGGCGACGACATGGTGACGACATGGCGACGACATGGCGACGTGGCCAGGACGACAACGACGACGGTGAAGAACGACGATGACGGCGCTGACGAGGACGACGGCGACGATCACGAGACAGAGTTATATAGGGTATGGTGTAGACATAGATATACATTTGGCTATGGTTTGATGATGCCGAAGCGCGTTTGTCACAACCAAATCAGTTTTTCGTATGTTCTTTCCCAGATGGGCGCCATGCTTTCTGAATCGGGCAAGGCTAAATGGGTGTGTTTCGTGTGCTGGCAGCATTCAACTTGAATTGTGTTCGATTCATGGGTTTGAGACAACAGCAGTTTTTTTTTGACAGCCCATGAGCTCTCATGTCGCTAAAGTCACAACTTGGACAAATTTAGCGAATCTCAGTTCGGGGTTCTTTGATGTTTCTGTGCATAAGTATATTCCCAGGCAGGAGGGATGAATTCGCCGGACAATGCAGGGAACAAATGGCTTATTGTTTTTTTATCCCCCGCCCTGTCCGGATATGAACCCCTTTTGTCTGGAGCTAGGGGTGCGGAAAAAGTGTTTCCCTTTTAGGTGGTTTTTGAAACCCCTTCCTATATGTCTCGCCTCTGTAGGAAGCCGCTCCGTGGGGTTCCTCCCCGGTCCCACTGTACGTCTGGATTTTCGGTTCCAATTGGTATCTAGAAGGGGAGAATCTAGGCTACACTTATATTCAACTCTTTTGGAACTTGTTTCGATTCAAAGGTGTTTAGGAAGAAAAGTTGATTGGCTTTCCTTCCTTCAATATGATCGCGGATTGTATCCAATTTTTCGAATACGCTGAATATTGATTTGGTAATTCCTGCACATTGCGTCCATATGGAATTTCACAGTGTCTGTGTGTGTGTTGGGGTTAGAGAGAACGCGTGGGACATGTGCAAGCATTGGATATGACGCATTATCAGTATGTGAGTCCATGAATTTTATTCCGCACAGAGTGAGTGAGCTAGATTCCTTTTCTGAATGTGGTACAAGATTACATAACCCACGCGCTGTTGACAAAGTAGGTGCCATGTGCTAAAAAGCATTCCTCGTAGTTTTGGGTGAACATTGTGACTAGATATTTTATTGTTTTTAAACAAGACTTCCTAGAAACCCTTCCAGATTCAACCTGCGACCATGCATCTAGTGTGCCAAGTTGTAGTACTTGACATTGATATCATTGATTTTTTAGCCGGCGCAAAATTCAAACAAATTGAACACAAGGAGAACGCAAAAACGATGGGGTCCTTGCAAGCTTTTGCATTCAAGCTCATCAACCTTTGGTGTGAAAGGCTTGACGGTGTATACGAGCATGTCTGGCTTAACAGTTCTTGACGTAGCACCTCTGCCCAAGCTTCACCTATGAAATATCACCTTGTCATGGGTCAGCATGCGGTGCCTATACAAAAAATACGTTTATTACCGGAGTAGATTTTCATAATTAGAGCTGGGCTTGGGGAAGAATATCTGAGTAGAACAGCGCAATACTCATTTTGAAGCAAAATCCCAACCATATTCAATAGCGTGCCCGTTTGGTGACCTTAGTCTTGGTACTTTCTCTTAGGAAAAATAACATGTATATAAACCTAGTTAAACCTACCACTTTGTTGATTGGTGTTCCCAACCGGTCACCCGTTTTGCACATTTTGCTGACAAAAAACTTGCTTTAGGGCACATGAAGATGGTGACTGAGCTTATTTGCCAATGATTCACAGGCTGGCAATGATTCCTTGCAGTTGGCCCGAAAAGGCTAACAGCCCGGAACTATAATAGAAACCTATCTTGCGTGTCTTCCTTTCTCATTGCAGACATCCTGTTTAAAAAATTGGCTGTTGTTTACCATACAGGGTGCCAAAATGTGCCAAACATCGATTCATGTAGACGATTCACATCAGCGGTGTTCAAGGCCCATCTGGTTGCAGTATGCTGGTTGGTTGATAGGGGCGCCCTGATAGTCCCCAATACACTAGCTGGTAAAGCCGCCCGCAATCTTCAAACAACAGAGGGTTTTGAACATCGCTGATTTGACAATGATTGCAGCATCTAGGTTGATGCGCACGTTTCAAACATGGCTAGGATGCACGCTGGACTCATGGTATTTCACAACGTGCGTGTTTGCAAAGGGGAGGTGAAGATAAAGGAGATACAGGACCTGTGATTGACACGTGCAAAAACTGGAATTGATATACATGTGGATCATGTTTTCAAGTCCATGCATTTTATGTACAAAATGGTGGTCGAAAAAACAAATATCATGTAGGATTAGAGCGGGACAGACAGATTCAGGTTGCTGTAGCTGCTCGTTGTCAATACGCAAGCCTACGTACTATGTCTTCACAAATTCGATGAAGACAAGGTGTCAATGGGCAAGGATCTGTTCCAAACTAAATGCGTTTAGAAGGGATCCAACGTGTCACAATCATCATTCAGCTGGCGCATAGATCCAGCAGACCCAATGGCAGTTTAACAGTAAGCACAAAGAAGTTTTTGTACACCTTTGAATTCAATTTCACCAACCTTTGGCGTTAAAGGCTGCTCCGTGTACTCAAGCATGTCTGACTTGAGAGTATCTGACTTGCAGGCACTGTACGTTGGCATGCTTTAGTAAAAAGAAACGTCGCCTGCATTTCAATGATGCAGCACCATATGCAAAGTGTGCAAAAACCAGTGGTAAAGTGCAAAGCATGCAAGCCAAAAGCTGAACACAAAATAATCATCGAAGATACCCGAAACAATCAAACAGTCATAGCATCACAGCAAGAAACATTGCAAAACACACGCGGACAGATATCAGATAGAGTCACACTGTCTAATGTTTGTGCCACGCCAGGACTAGAAGAGGCAACGCTGAACAAGATGCAAGTGTCATCTGAAAACACGCAGGCGCACCCAAAGTTTGGGAATGGACATGACGGTGAATTTGCTGGGCTTTCTGGTTCGGGGTAAGAAGGACCGGCTTTCCAAATTTGCAATGTAAATATTTTTCTGCGGGGTAAAGTTTTCAAGACCGCAACTCTTCTGCTTTGTCTATGTGAGGGCACGCAATCATCGTCTTCCTAACTAAGTTGTCGCGACTTTGTCAACACAGCGTCACCGCCACATTTCGTCGCCACATTGCCACCACATCGCCATCACATCGCCGCCACATTGCCACCACATCACCATTACATCGCCGACACATCGCCGCCACATCGCCGCCACATCGCCGCCACATCGCCGCCACCTCGCCGCCACATCGCCGCCACATCGCCGCCGCATTGCCGCCACATTGCCGCCACATTGCCGCCACATCGCCGCCACATCGCCGCCACATCGCCGCCGCATTGCCGCCACATTGCCGCCACATCGCCGCCACATTGCCGCCACATTGCCGCCACATTGCCGCCGCCACCTCGCCGCCACAGCTGCCACAGGACCTAATTTCTGCCAATAAGGTCCTGTTTGGCCAAAACAAGACCTTATTGGCAGAAATAAGGTCCTGTGGCAGCTGTGGCGGCGAGGTGGCGGCAATGTGGCGGCAACGTGGCGGCAATGTCGCGGCAACTTGGCGGCAATGTGCCGCCACATTGCCGCCACATCGCCGCCACAGCTGCACAGGACCTTATTTCTGCCAATAAGGTCTTGTTTTGGCCAAACAAGACCTTATTGGCAGAAATAAGGTCCTGTGGCAGCTGTGTGGCGGCAATGGCGGAGGTGGCGGCGATGTGGCGGCAATGTGGCGGCAATGTGGCGGCAATGTGGCGGCGATGCGGCGGCGATGTGGCGGCGATGTGGCGGCGATGTGGCGGCGATGTGGCGGCGATGTGGCGGCAATGTGGCGGCGATGTGGCGGCGATGTGGTGGCAATGTGGTGGCAATGTGACGACCACACGACGACGACATTTTTTTACAATTTTGACAATGAAGGGACAATCACATGACGATGGAAATATCCTTCAATTTGAAATCTCTTCCTGGTCCTATCATCATGTCGCAGTTACCAAAAAAGTAACACGGCAACACGAAATCCATGGATCATCGCATTTGCAAGCAAAACGCAACCCCTGCTCACAGAGTGTCACCTTCCACCAAAGACCCAAAATCGTGCCGACGCACAGGCAAATAAAAACATGTTGTTTTGATGATGACACCGCACTGCTTGCCGTGTTGTTGCAAGGTCGTCGTCATGCAGCTGCCCTAAATGATTGGTATGATTTGAAATGACCGCTATGGCCTTCCAATGCAGTCATCGAATGGGCCTTGATTCGTTTCAAGAACCAAGCGCGTGTGACCTTGGGAAGATGCAAATCGGCACTGTGTATGTGCTCAAAAAAGGAAAAGAGAAGTGATGTTAAATGGGTGTTTGTTTCCGGTGCTGGCAGCATTCAACTTGAATTGTGTTCGATCAATGGGCTTGAAACAACAGCAGTTTGTTTTTGACAGCGCATGAACTCTCATGTTGCTAAAGTCACAACTTGGACAAACGTAGTGAATCTCAATTCGGGGTTCTTTGATGTTTCTGTGCATCAATATATTCCGTCTCCAGGCAGGGGGGATGAATTCGCCGGACAATGCAGGGAACAAATGGTTTATTCTCTTTTTGATCCCCCGCCCTGTCTGGATATGAACCCCTCTTGTCTGGAGCTAGGGGTGCGGAAAAACATGTTTCCTGTTTATGTGACTTT